GTAGCTGGGACTACAGGCGCCCGCCACCTTGCCTGGCTAGTTTTTTGTATTTTTTAGTAGAGAAGGGGTTTCACCGTGTTAGCCAGGATGATCTCGATCTCCTGACCTCGTGATCCACCCGTCTCGGCCTCCCAAAGTGCTGGGATTACAGGCTTGAGCCACCGTGCCCGGCTGTACCTGGCTTTATGTACAGGTTTTTCTGGGAACGTAAGTTTTAATTTCCTGGGATAAATGCCCAGGAGTGTATTCTGTGGGATAGATGGGCCATAGTTTGACTAACCATTCCTCTGTTGAAGGACATCTGGGTAGTTTCCAGTTTTGGCTATTATGAATAAAGATGCTATAAAAATTTGTACACAGATTTTCGTGTGCACATAAATCTTCATTTCTCTGGGAAATATGCCAAGGAATGCAATTGCTAAGTCGTATTGTAGATGCATGTTTAGTTTTTAAGAAATTTACAGGGGCTGCATGTGGTGGCTCATTACTGTAATCCTGGCACTTTGAAAGGATGAGGTAGGAGGATCATTTGAGCCCAGGAGTTCAAGACCAGCCTGGGTAACATAGCAAGATCCTGTCTCTACAATAAATAAGTAAGCTCAGTATGGTGGCAGATTCCTGTAGTCCTGGCTACTTGGGAGGCTGAAGTTGGAAGATCACTTGAGCCCGGGAGTTTGAGGTTGCAGTGGACTATGACTGTGCCACTGTACTCCAACCTGGACAATAGAACAAGACCCTGTCGCTAAAAAATACAATAAAATAATAATTAAAAATTAAATAAAAAATTTTAGGCCGGCCATGGTGGCTCACACCTGTAATCCCAGCACTTTGGGAGGCTGAGGCAGGCGGATCACCTGAGGTCAGGAGTTCGAGACCAGCCCAACCAATATGGTGAAACCTCATCTCTACTAAAAGTACAAAATTTGCCAGGCATGGTGTTACACACCTGTAGTCCCAGCTACTCGGGAGGCTAAGGGAGGAGAATCACTGGAACCCAGGAGGCAGAGGTTGCAGTGAGCTGAGATTATGCCATTGCACTCCAGCCTGGGCCATAGAGCAAGACTCTGTCTCAAAAACAAACAAACAAACAAACAACAACAACAAAAAACTTTTAAAATAAATTTACAAACTTTTTTCAGACTGACTACCATTTTACAGTCTCACAAGCAACATATGAGTGATCTAGTTTCTCCATATCCTTGCTAACATTTGGTGTCATCATTATTTTTTATTTTAGCCATTCTGATAGTTGAACAGCAGAATCTTGTTATGATTTTAATTTGAAATTTTTTCTAATGGCTAATGATGTTGAAAATATTTCCGTGTGTTTATATGCCATTTGTACATCATCTTTGGTGAAATATCTGTTCATTATTTTTGCCTATTTCTCATTACTCATTGTTGTGGGGGGTTTTTTTGTTTGTTTTTGGTTTTTTGTTTTTGAGACAGAGTCTTGCTCTGTCACCCAGGCTGGAGTGCAGTGAGGAGATCTCGGCTCACTGCAACCTCCACCTCCTGGGTTCTAGCAATTCTCCTGCCTCAGCCTCCTTAGTAGGTGGGATTACAGGCTGTGCCACCACGCCCAGCTGATTTTCTGTATTTTTAGTAGAGATGGGGTTTCACCGTGTTAGCCAGGATGGTCTCGATTTCCTGACCTCATGATCCACCCACTTTGTCTTCCCAAAGTTCTGGGATTACAGGCATGAGCCACCACGCTTAGCTGTTGTATTATTACATTTTTTTTTTGAGATGGAGTCCCACTCTGTTGCCCAGGCTGGAGGGCAGTGGCGTGATCCCGGCTCACTGTAACCTCTTCCGCCCAGGTTCAAATGATTCTCCTGCCTCAGCCTCCCGAGTAGCTGGGATTACAGGTGTACACCACCATGCCCAGCAAATTTTTTTTTTTTTGAGACGGAGTCTTGCTGTGTCGCCCAGGCTGGAATGCAGTGGCCGGATCTCAGCTCACTGCAAACTCCGCCTCCCGGGTTCACGCCATTCTCCTGCCTCAGACTCCCAAGTAGCTGGGACTACAGGCGCCCGCCACCTCGTCTGGCTAGTTTTTTTGTATTTTTTAGTAGAGATGGGGTTTCACTGTGTTAGCCAGGATGGTCTTGATCTCCTGACCTCGTGATCCACCCGTCTCGGCCTCCCAAAGTGCTGGGATTACAGGCTTGAGCCACCGTGCCCAGCCAATTTTTTGTATCTTTAGTAGAGACAGGGTCTCACCATCTTGGCCAGGCTGGTCTTGAACTCCTGACCTTGTGATCCACCCTCCCCAGCCTCCCAACGTGCTAGCATTACAGGTGTGAGCCACGGCACCCAGCCTATTTTTTTTAACTATTGAGTTTTTTTTGTTTTTTTGTTTGTTTGTTTGTTTTGAGACGGAGTCTCACTTTGTTGCCCAGGCTGGAGTGCAGTGGCTCGATCTTGGATCACTGCAACCTCTGACTCCTGGGTTCAAGCGATCCTTCAGCCTCAGCCTCCCGAATAGCTGAGATTACAGGCATGTGCCAATCCACCTGGCTAATTTTTGTATTTTTAGTAGAGACGGGGTTTCGCCATGTTGGCCAGGCTAGTCTTGAACTCCTGACCTCAGGTGTCCACCCGCCTCGGCCTCCCAAAGTGCTGGGATTACATGCATGAGCCACCACACCCAGCCTAACTGTTGAGTTTTAAAATATTATTATATTTCTAGATACTAGACCTTTGTCAGATATGTAATTTACAAATATGTCATCCAAGTCTATATCCTGTCTTTTCATCTTCATAGCAGAGTCTTTCACCAAGCAAAAGCTTTTAATTTTTTTTTTTTTTTTTTTTTTTTGAGACTGAGTTTTACTCTTGCTGCCTGGGCTGGAGTTCTATGTCGCCATCTTGGTTCACCACAACCTCCCCTCTCTTTGTATTGTTGGTAGAGTTGGGGTTTCTTCATTTTGGTCAGGCTGGTCTTGAACTCCCGACCTCAGGTGATCTGCCCACGTCAGCCTCTCAAAGTGCTGGGATTATAGGCATGAGCCACTGCACCTGGCCTTTACTTAGTTTTTAATTTTGATGAGGTCCAATTTATCAAATTTTCCCTTTATGGATCATGGTTTTCATATCAAATCTATGAAGTCTTTGTCTAGCCCCTAGATCCTAAATATTTTCTCCTAGGTTTTTTCCTAAACATTCTATAGCTTTATATTTAGCTATATATGGAATTTTGAGTGAATTAGACTTCATGAACTATCACCCCACCCATGCAAGATTTAGTATTCAGCAACAGCTCCAGACCCAAGGAGATGCCCTTGTAGATTTCTGTAACTCTTCACGTAGCTTCCTGCTCTCTGATACGTAGCCTAGGACCTCTGCTCTTAACTATTACACTATATTGCCTCTTAAGTTAGAGGTTGTGCAGCGTATTAATCAATGGCTAATCAATTACACTTACTGAGTTCCTAACTACAGGAAAGATCCCACAAAATATGCAAAAAGGAAGACATCCCAGCCTCAACCCTAGTCATCCCCACACGAGCCCAAAGCAGTGATTAGGAAATACGTGCAAACCTCTGAGGCAAGGGATGGTGACAGTACCGTTAGCAATAGGATTGCACAGTGAATGACAAACCACAATGCTGCTGTCTCCTCTCTGGACCCATCATTCATCCCTCCTCCCATACCTCTCTAGTTCCTCCAGCCTCTTCCATCAATGAGGAGCCAGAAAATTGACTGCCTCTCCCACCCTAGCCTCCCAAACTTCATCTAAGTTTTTGACTGGGTCAGGCACGGTGGCTCAAGCCTGTAATCCCAGCACTTTGGGAGGCCGAGGCAGGCAGATCACTTGAGCCCAGGAGTTCGAGACCAGCGTAGGCAACATGGCAAAAACCTGCCTCTACAAAAAATACAAAAATTAGCCAGGCTTGGTGGCATGCACCTGTGGTTCCAGCTACTCGGGAGGCTGAGCCTGGGAGTTCAAGGCTACCATGAGCCATTATCATGCCACTGCACTCCAGACTGGATGACAGAGTGAGACTCTATCTCAAAAAAAAAAAAAAGAAAAGAAAAGAAAAGAAAAGAAAGGCTGGGCCGTAGCTCACGCCTGTAATCCCAGCACTTTGGAAGGCTGAGGTGGGCGGATCATGGGGTCAGGAGTTTGAGACCAGCCTGGCCAACATGGTCTCTTTAGTAGCCCATCTCTACTAAAAAATACAAAAATTGGCTGGGTGTGGTTGGCCGGTGCCTGTAATCCCAGCTACTCAGGAGGCTGAGGCAGGAGAATTGCTTGAAGCCAAGAGGCAGAGGTTGCGGTGAGCCAAGGTTGTGCCATTGCACTCCAGCCTGGGTGACAGAGTAAGACTCCCTCTCAAAATAAATAAATAAATAGATACATACATACAAAAAGTAGCCGGGTATGGTGGCACATGCCTGTAGTCCCAGCTATTCAGGAGGCTGAGGCAGGAGAATTGCTTAAACATGGAGGGCAGAGGTTGCACTGAGCTGACATTATGCCACTGCACTCCAGTCTGGGCGACAGAGTGAGACTCTCTCTCGAAAAAAAAAAAAAAAAGGCCAGCATGGTAGCTCACGCCTGTAATTCCAGCACTTTGGGAGGCCAAGGTGGGTGGATCACGAGGTCAGGAGATTGAGACCATCCTGCCTAACATGGTGAAACCCCGTCTCTACTAATAATACAAAAAATTAGCCGGGCATGGTGGTGGTTGCCTGTAGTCCCAGCTACTCGGGAGGCTGAGGCAGGAGAATGGTGTGAACCTGGCAGGTAGAGCTTTTGGTGAGTCGAGATTGTGCCACTGCGCTCCAGCCTGGGCAACAGAGCGAGACTCTGTCTCAAAAAAAAAAAAAAAAAAAAAGAGTTTGAGGCTGCAGTGAACTATGATGGCACCACTGCACTTCACACTTCACTCTAGCCTGGGTGACAGAGCGAGACCTTGTCTCTAAAAAAATCAAAAAAAAAAAAAAAAAAAAAGGGAAGGGCGCAGAATAGAATAAACAACTCTGAGAGGGGACATGATCTGGTGACAATCTCAAGTGAATCAGTGGTTGAACCAGGACCAGATCCCAGTGCCCTATCTTCTGGGGACATCCTGGGCCTGAATCTTTAATTCATGTCCCTTCTGCAGTGCCTTTCCTCTGAGGCCCTCAAAGGGAAACTGAGGCCTTTGAGGACATTTGAGGACATGAAGACTCGCATTAGGCCAACGAACCTTGGAACTCCAGATCGAAGAGGAGAAGAAAGACCTGACTCTGTGTGTATGTGTGTGTGCATATGTGTGTGTGTGTGTGTGTGTGTGGCAGAGGGGGGTGTGGTCATGGGGTATTGCCATGAACACACAAGGGGCAAGAAGCGTCTGAAATCAGAGCTAACTTGGGAGGCACAGAACACAGGGTGCCTGGAAGGGAAACAGATGTATTGTGGGGCACAGGGCAGGCTGGGAGGGGAACAAAGGTCCACTCCATGGGTAACCAGACCCTTCCGCCAGGGCTGGCCACTTCTGCCTTTGGAAAATGTTTCACAACGCCCCATGTTATGTGTATGTGTGAATTGGCCGATGCGAAACGAATGTTGATGTAAGAGGTAGGGCGCTCAGCTACGGATGGGTAACAGGGCGTGGGCTCGCACACTCACTTGCACCAGTGCCCAGAGACGGGGTGCAAGCTGAGGAGCTGCCCAGAGCACTGCTCGCACTCCCAGAGTACCTGAATTCGGCATTCCAATGACAGGTGAGTAGTGGCCCCTGGGGACAGAGCCTGATTTGGGGGTGGAGTGGAGGAGGTCACTAGGCTGGTGGAGACTTAAGGAAGCAAGAAAGCCCTTGGTCCCCCGTGGAAGCCTCTGGTCTCCCGTGAGAGTCCTGGTCTAGAACACAGTTCTGGACATCAGACTCAATCTCACTGGGTTGGGGTCCTTCACACCCCTAAGGGGTCTACTTTTCCTTTATCTGAAGTCTGTGGATCAAAGCCCCTGGAGCTTTCTGGGCTGCCGGAGAAAGTGAGGGGTCCGGCCAAGGGGCAGACATGTGGCCTGAGCTTGCCCTTCTTCGAGCCTAGGGTCTCTCTGCATTGTCTGTGGCAGGAGATCTGCCTCTGGGCATCTGTCCTCACATGAAAGGACAGTAATTCTGAAGCTGCCATGTCCCACACATCTGGAATGTTTGGTTGAGAGGTGGAGGTGATAGACCCAAGATGGGGGCCAGGGACCTTAGTTTTTCCACTTTTCCGGGAGGAGGAAGCAAGGGAACAGGTGGGTTTAACTCTGGGCCACCAGAAAGAGGCAGGACACTCACCATGCTTCATGTACCCCAACAGGTGACAAGGGTCCCCAAAGGCTGAGCAGGTCCAGCTATGGCTCCATCTCCAGCCCGACCAGCCCAGGGCCACAGCAAGCACCTCCCAGAGAGACCTACCTGAGTGAGAAGATCCCCATCCCAGACACAAAGCCGGTGGGATGCTAGAAACTTCCTGGGGGCTTGCAAGATTGACAGGATCCTATGGGATCCCATGGGCTGGAGAATAGGGTCTCCTTATGATCATGGGTGACAAGTCCCTTCCAGGTCTGAGCAGCAGTGGTGGACAGTGGCAACTGCCCCTTCCTGCTTCCGTCCCCAGGGCTTAGCTGGGGTGCTTCAGTATTTGTCTAAAATTTCTCAATTAATCTCAGCTTTCCTATGAAGGAAAAAAGGCCTGGGGGGAATTGGGATTGGAGCCTTAAGGACATGTTTTAGCATTTAGGAAAGGCATAGGGAGAAGTGAAGGAGGCTGCAGGCTGGCATCTAGCATCTAGGATGTTGTCACCTGCATTTCCAGTATCTTCTCTTTTTTTGGAGATGGAGTCTTGCTCTGTAGCCCAGGCTGCAGTGCAATGGCATGCTCTCAGCTCACTGCAACCTCCGCCTCCTGAGTTTAAGCGATTCTCCTGCCTCAGCCTCCCGAGTAGCTGGGATTACAGGCATGCACCACCATGCCAGGCTAATTTTTGTATTTTTAGTAGAGACAGGTTTTCACCATGTTGGCCAGGCTGGTCTCAAACTCCTGAGTTCAAATAATCTGCCCACCTCGGCCTTCCAAAGTGCTGGGATTATAGGCGCTAACCACTGCTCCCAGCCTCCAATATCTTTAGCAGATTTCTAAGCCGATAGGCCATGCCCTGGAACAGGGTGGGGGATCATAACCTCAGTGGACCACAGAGAGGAGGCCCTGTGGTCGGAAAAGGGGCTGGGGAGGGAGGAGCTGGGTCAGGGAGGCTTGGCCCCCTCACCCCCTTAGATAGCCCCCTGTGGGGTCTCTGAGGACCTGACAAGTCAGGGCTTGAGAGGGGCAGGCAGTTCAGGTGCAAGCCGGCTGCTGAGCTTAGCAGATCCAGAAAGCAGATCCTCTGTGACTCAGCAGAGCATGCTGCTTCCTCCACCCATGCCGTCCCCATCCCCTGGGTGGCAGACCCAGGAACGGGCCATGGAGGGCAGGGCTGGGCTGACGAGCCTGTTGGGGCTCCTCTAGGGGATGGCCAAGGTGAACTGCCACCATCCCTATACCCAGGACCCCCTCACTCTACTCCTCCCACCCCCCACAGGGCACCTTCAGCCTGCGGAAGCTATGGGCCTTCACGGGGCCTGGTTTCCTCATGAGCATTGCTTTCCTGGACCCAGGAAACATCGAGTCAGATCTTCAGGCTGGCGCCGTGGCGGGATTCAAAGTAACTAAGTCGGGACCTGAGTGGGGACACGTTCGAGAGGGAGGTGACCAGGCTAAGTGTTGAAGGCCCCTGCTGGCCATGTTTCTCCAGTGTGGCCTGGGAGCTGGTGTTAAGTACAAATGGGTCCGAAAAGGGTCCCCAGGGCAATCCTACCAGAAGGTGGGACATTTGTGTGGGGGGTAGGGGACTGGGCTCCTCTCTTTAAAAAAAAAAAAAAAAAAACTATTTACTTATTTACTTTTTTTTGAGATGGAGTCTCACTCTGTCGCCCAGGCTGGAGTGCAGTGGCACAATCTTGGCTCACTGCAACCTCTGCCTCCCGGGTTCAAGTGATTCTCCTGCCTCAGCCTCCCAAATAGTGCCCGCCACCACGCCTGGCTAATTTTTGTATGTTTAGTAGAGACGGGGTTTCACTATGTGGGCCAGACTGGTCTTGAACTTCTGACCTCAAGTGATCCACCCATCTCCCAAAGTGCTGGGATTACAGGTGTGAGTCACCTCGCCTGGCGTAATTTATTTATTTATTTAGAGATGGGGGTCTCACTATGTTGCTCAGGCTGGTCTTGAACTCCTGGACTCAAAGCAATCCTCCCACCTTAGCCTTTTAAAGTGCTGGGATTACAGGCGTGAACTACCAGCACCCTGCCAGGATGGGACTCCATCTCTCCCACCCCCTCCCTAAGGAGTGTCCTTGGTTGGAGGGTACCACGAACTCAGGGGCTTTCTGAGGCTGGCCACTCTGGTTGAAGGCCTCTCCCTGCCTCCTCACAGCTTCTCTGGGTGCTGCTCTGGGCCACGTTGTTGGGCTTGCTCTGCCAGCGACTGGCTGCACGTCTGGGCGTGGTGACAGGCAAGGACTTGGGTGAAGTCTGCCATCTCTACTACCCTAAGGTGAGCTTGGGGGGCCTGGACAGGGAGAACCACTGGCCCCAAACCCCAAACAGCCATTTCCAGCTTCCACGATCAAATAAGCACATCATCTCACATGGGGCGTCCCAAGTCTATTTGGTTTTTTTGTTGTTGTTGTTGTTTGTTTGTTTTTCAGTTGGAGTCTTGCTCCGTCGCCCAGTCAGGAGTGCAGTGATGGGATCTCAACTCACTGCAACCTCTACCTCCCAGGTTCAAGCAATTCTCCTGCCTCAGCCTCTCGAGTAGCTGGGATTACAGGCACCCACCACCATGATCAGCTAATTTTTGTAATTTTAGTAGAAACAGGGTTTCACCATGTTGGCCAGGCTGGTCTCAAACTCCTGACCTCAGATGATCCACCCACCTCAGTCTCCCAAAGTGCTGGGATTACAGGCATGAGCCACCGCACCCGGCCCCAATTCCATTTGATAGGTGAAAAAACTGAGGCTCAAACTGATAGCACACAGTCTAGAGGGACATGAGAGGCATGCCATTTCATAGAAGAGGCAATTAAAATTTGGGAAAGTGACTTGCCCAAGACAAAAAATGGGAGGCATCAGCTCAGGAATGGTCATTGGCTGGGGTGGACCCTGGGGACTTGGCTGTTGTGAGTGTCCAGTTTGGAAAACAGAAATTATAGCACTAGACATTTCAAAGGTATTGAATGCAGGGATTGAAAGGTTTGGGAGGGCTTGGGGGGCAAGGGAAGAGGGTGTTACCCAAAGATCAGAAAGCTGCTACACCCCTGGCACAAGCCCCAGAGCCATCCTTTGCTGCTGAGCTCCTGAAAGCATTATTGACGTTGATGAAATGGCCACTAGTGTTGCCAGAGCCCAGGTTGCCTGGTGCCACTGCCAGAAATACCACAAGAAGCAGGGGAAAAAGTGGTTTATCTCAGCCAGGGGAGGTGCTCACGCCTGTAATCCCAGCACTTTGGGAGGCCGAGGCGGGTGGATCACCTGAGGTCGGGAGTTCGAGACCAGCCTGACCAACATGGAGAAATCCCGTCTCTACTAAAAATACAAAACTAGCCGGGCATGGTGGTGCGTGCCTGTAATCCCAGCTACTCAGGAGGCTGAGGCAGGAGAATCGCTTGAACCTGAGAGGGGGAGAGTGTGGTGAGCTGAGATTGTGCCATTGCACTCCAGGCTGGGCAACAAGAGCGAAATTTCATCTCAAAAAAAAAAAAAATGTTTATCTCTGCCTTTCCATCTCCTGTAAGCTCTTCCTACATAATATAGGAAGCCAATTGGCAAGACTGTCTTGTAAATGTAGTCTGAGACAACAGACAAATAACCGGCCCACCCCTAATGCAGGATTATCTCCTCCCCATAGGTGCCCCGCACACTCCTCTGGCTGACCATCGAACTAGCCATTGTGGGCTCTGACATGCAGGAAGTCATCGGCACGGCCATTGCATTCAATCTGCTCTCAGCTGGACGGTACCGCCCCAGTGTACCCCAACTCTTCAGGCCAGGCCGAGAACAGCTGCTGCTACTTCCCGTCCCCTCCCCTCAACGAGTCCCTCCCAGAGTTTATTTTATCCTGCTCTCCCCTCTGAAGCAGGGCTGCTGCCCTATTTTCCAGAAATGTAAAGTGATTTGTCTAAAGTAACACAGATGTGAGTCATGCAGGACTCTGGGATTGCAGCCCCAAACTCCCTGCTGCGCCGGGTGCCAGGTCTCTCCTCTAGCTCTGCCCAGCCTCGACTGTTCTATGCCACACTCCCACTCCCCTTGCCCTAGCTGTCTGGGGGCACTTAGGGTCCTGCTCCCAGGAGGCCAGATTCCTGTCTCCAGCCCTGAGGCTACCTAGGAGTTACAGACCCCTGGACCAGGCTGGGCTGACCCGGGTCACTCTGGTTTCAGAATCCCACTCTGGGGTGGCGTCCTCATCACCATCGTGGACACCTTCTTCTTCCTCTTCCTCGATAACTATGGTGGGTGCACACCCCATCTCATAGGGGAGTGGTGGTGGTGAGGGTGCTCTACTGGGAGAAGGGCTCTGACATCGAACTGCCTGAGCGCACCTGAGCTCCCTCACTCTCCCTGGGTGGCCTCTAGCAAGTTACTTGGACATCCCTTTCTTCACCTGTAACGTGGGGAAATAATAGCACAGACATCAGAGGGTGGTTGTGAAGACTGAGTGAGGTAACAAATGTTAAGCACTTGGCACTGTGCCTGAAAGCGCTCGTAGTATTAGCCATTACGAATTGTTGATGTTACAGATTTTTTTCGTTGGTTTGTTTGGTTTGTTCTGCTCTGTAGGGTTGCGGAAGCTGGAAGCTTTTTTTGGACTCCTTATAACCATTATGGCCTTGACCTTTGGCTATGAGGTAGGAAGCCAGTGCTGCAACCCCCCTGCGGACCCCCCAAGATTATTCCTCTCCCTTCCCTCTGGCCGCTAGCTGCGTGGGGGTGGGGTGGGATGGAGGCTGAGAAATGATGACCGCGGCGTGGTTGCGAGGGGCGGGGCTTGTCCTGACCAGGCTCCTCCCTGCAGTATGTGGTGGCGCGTCCTGACCAGGGAGCGCTTCTTCGGGGCCTGCTCCTGCCCTCGTGCCCGGGCTGCGGCCACCCCGAGCTGCTGCAGGCGGTGGGCATTGTTGGCGCCATCATCATGCCCCACAACATCTACCTGCACTCGGCCCTGGTCAAGGTGAGCAGCGGGGAGGGCAAAGGAGACCCCCACTCAGTCGGAGCCATGCTGGCCCCGCCTCCAAGCCTGGAGCCCCTCCCCTTCCTTCCGTCAGGATTTTCGGAGCCTGTAATAATTGAGGGTCAGGCGGGACGCGGTGGCTCACGCCTGTAATCCCAGCACTTTGGGAGGCCGAGGCGGGCGGATCACGAGGTCAAGAGATCGAGACCATCCTGGCCAACATGGCGAAACCCCGTCTCTACTAAAAATACGAAAACTAGCTAGGCGTGGTGGCGCGCGCCTGTAGTCCCAGCGACTCCGGCTGAGGCAGGAGAATCGCTTGAACCGGGAGGCAGAGGTTGCGATGAGCCGAGATCGCGCCACTGCACCGCCACTGCACCTCTCCAACCTGGCGACAGAGCGAGACTGTCTCAAAAAAAAAAAAAGTGTCTACTGTGCGCTGGGAGGAACAGACAGTCAAGGCCCCTGCCCTTCTAGAGTTTCCGTGCTAGTAGGGTAGACAGACAACAAGCCAAGTAACAAACAAAGGAAAGAATTATAGGCCGGGCGCGGTGGTTCACGCCTGTAATCCCAGCACTTCGGGAGGCCGAGGCGGGGGGATCACGAGGTCAGGAGTTTGAGACCAGCCTGGCCAACATGGTGAAATCCTGTCTCTACTAAAAATATAAAAAATTAGCCGGGAGTGGCGGCGCGTGCCTGTAATCCCAGCTACTGGGGAGGCTGAGGCAGGAGAATTGCTTGAAGCCAGTAGGCGGAAGTTGCAGTGAGGGGAGATCATGCCATTGCACTCCAGCCTGAGTGACAGAGCTAGACTCCCATCTCAAAAAAAAAAAAAAGAAAGAAAGAAAGAAAAGAAAAAAGAGAAAAAGAACTGTAGAGCTGGGCGAGGTGGCTGACGTCTGTAATCCCAACACTTTGGGAAGCAGGTGGATTGCTTGAGCCCAGGAGTTTTGAGACCAGCCTGGGCAACATGGTGAAACCCTGTCTCTACTAACAAAAAATAAAAAATAAATAAAATAAATTAGTTGGGTGTTGTGCACACCTGTAGTCCTAGTTAGTCAGGAGGTTGAGGCTTGAGTCCCAGAGGTCGAGGCTGCAGTGAGCTGAGATCCCACCACTGCACTTCAACCTGAGTGACACAGCGAGACCCTCTCAAAAAAAAATAATAATAATAATAATTGTGAAAGGGACTCTGAAGTAAACAAAACAGAGAAATACGATAGAGAATGACTGAAAGTTGGGGAAGCAGATCAGGGAAAAGATATTACAAGCAGAGGGAAAGCAAGTGCAAAGGCCATGGGCAGAAATGAATAAGGCTTGGGTCTCTAACAGCCTAACAGTGGCTCACACCTGTAATCTCAGCACTCGAGGAGGCCAAGACAGGAGAATGCTTGAGCCCAGGAGTTCAAGACTAGCTTCAGCAAGACCCTGTCTCTACAGAAAATTAAAAAATTAGGGCGGGCGCGGTGGCTCAAGCCTGTAATCCCAGCACTTTGGGAGGCCGAGACGGGCGGATCACGAGGTCGGGAGATCGAGACCATCCTGGCTAACACGGTGAAACCCCGTTTCTACTAAAAAAATACAAAAAAAACTAGCCGGGCGAGGTGGCGGGTGCCTGTAGTTCCAGCTACTCGGGAGGCTGAGGCAGGAGAATGGCGTAAACCCGGGAGGCGTAGCTTGCAGTGAGCTGAGATCTGGCCACTGCACTCCAGCCTGGGTGACAGAGCGAGACTCCGTCTCAAAAAAAATAAAATAAATAAACAAAAATAAAAATAAAAAATTAGTTGTGGTGATGTGTGTCTGTGGTCCCAGCTACTCAGGAGGCTGGGGCAGGAGGATCACTTGGGCCCATGATTTGGAGGCTGCAGTGAGCCATGCATTGCACCACGGCACTCCAGCCTGGGTGACAGAACAAGACCTGTCTCTAAAAAACAAAATAAAGTAAGCCGGACATGTCTGAGGATGGAAAAAGGTGAGTGAAGGAGCGTGTCAGGACCTGAGGTAGCCAGGGACCTCAAAGGCCACAAAAGTGGCTTCACCCACAAAGTGGCTCGCAGTGGTCAGGCCGCTGTGGCAAGAACAGAGATGTAGGAGTCCATCGGCTGACCTGAGCCTGTCCCAAACTGCCACGCAGGGGACTTGAAAAGGTATTGGGCTTTGGGGAGAACATAGAAGTGTGAGGGTGCGGGACACTGTGGTGACTCTGAGGGACTTTGGCACTTCCCTCTCCCTTTGACTTTTGTAGTCTCGAGAGATAGACCGAACCCGCCGAGTGGACATCAGAGAAGCCAACATGTACTTCCTGATTGAGGCCACCATCGCCCTGTCCGTCTCCTTTATCATCAACCTCTTTGTCATGGCTGTCTTTGGGCAGGCCTTCTACCAGCAAACCAACCAGGCTGCGGTGAGACACACTTTCCCCTGCACCTGAGGCCACACGCGTACTTATGTCCTGTAAGCCTTGCCGAGGACCCTAGGCAATGCAGCTGAGCCCTTCTGAGTCTCTGCCCTGATAATCTTCCCTGTTGGCAGATATCATTCATTCAGCAAATAATCATCGAGCATTTGTTTGTTTGTTTGTTTTTGAGATGGAGCCTTGCACTGTTGCCTAGGCTGGAGTGCAGTGGCACGATCTCGGCTCACTGCAAGCTTCACCTCCTGGGTTCACACCATTCTTCTACTTCAGCCTCTCAAGTAGCTGAGACTACAGACGCCCGCCACCATGCCCAGCTGACTTTTTGTACTTTTAGTAGAGACGGCGTTTCGCCGTGTTAGCCTGGATGGTCTCAATTTCCTGACCTTGTGATCTGCCTGCCTTGGCCTCCCAAAGTGCTGGGATTACAGGTGTGAGCCACCATGCCCGGCTGAGCATTTGTTATGTACCAAGCACATCCTAGACTCTGGGGATACAGCAGTCAATGCTACAAAGACCCAGTTCTCTGCAGCTTAAATGGGGTGCGAGGTGAGCAGACAGGAATGAATCCCGAAGGGTAGTGCAGAGTGGGAAGAAATAAAGGGGGTGAAGAAGCATAGTTGGGGGTATGGGAGTGGGGTCTGCATTAGCCCAGGTGGTCAGGAAAGGCTCTTGGAAGAGGTGACATTTGTGCTAATACTGGAAAAGGAGCTAGGCGATTCCTCCCTGACTCTCTGGGATCTGGGACCTGTGTCTGCCTCCCCTTCTGAGTGGATCTCAGTCATGAGGCTCTAACAACTGCAGTCAGGGTTGGGGGCTTCCTGAATGCTAAGCCCTGTGGGAGAAGGTGTGGCCAGGCCTCCAAGGACCTGGGCACTGCCACTGCCTTGCTCTGTGACCTTGGGAGGTCATACTCCTCCCTGGGTCTCACTCTGTTCCTTGGTACAAGGAGGGAGATCAACATCGGGGTTGCAAACCCTTGTCTTCAAGATCAGACAGGCGCAGAGCTGTGGGAAGTGGACAGTGTGAGGCGGGCATGGCAGCCAGCTGTCTCTGTGCTGATGCCAGCTCTTACGAACATAAAAGAAGCTGGAAACAGTCCGGGGGCGGTGGCTCATGCCTGCAATCCCAGCACTTTGGGAGGCTGAGGCGGACGGATCACCTGAGGTCAGGAGTTCAAGACCAGCCTGACCAACGTGGAGAAACCCCGTCTCTACTAAAAAAAATACAAACTTAGCTGGGGTGGTGGCGCATGCCTGTAATCCCAGCTACTTGGGGAGGCTGAGGCAGGAGAATCGCTTGAACCCAGGAGGCGGAGGTTGCAGTGAGCCAAGATTGCACCATTGCTCTCCAGCCTGGGCAACAAGAGCGAAGCTATGTCTCAAACAAAAACAAAAACAAAACAAACAAAAAAGCTGGAAACTGGGTTCTCATGCCAGGCCTTCTCAATTTTAAATGTTGGCAACAAATCCATATTAAAGAAAAAAAAACCCGCCGGGCGCGGTGGCTCATGCCTGTAATCCCAGCACTTTGGGAGGCTGAGGCAGGTGGCTCGCTTGAGCCTGGGAGTTCAAGACCAGCCTGGGCAACATGACAAGACCCCCATCGCTACAAAACATAAAAGCAAAACAAAACAAAACCCGACTTATTTTGTTAGTCAAACAAAATATGTCTGGCCACATTCAGCCTTGGGCCACCAGTTTTGGAACCCTGGTCAAGGCTAGGCAGTCCAGTTTCCCAAGGCTAAGCGTGCTCCTCACATCTTCCTTCTACTGCCCTGGTACCGCAGTTCAACATCTGTGCCAACAGCAGCCTCCACGACTACGCCAAGATCTTCCCCATGAACAACGCCACCGTGGCCGTGGACATTTACCAGGGGGTGAGCGAGGGTGGGCGGGGAGGGCGAGGCCCAGAGAGGCGCCCGCCCCGCCCACCGAGGGGCGGGGCCTAGGGCGGGGCCACCGGTCCGACCACACTCCGTCCCTGCAGGGCGTGATTCTGGGCTGCCTGTTCGGCCCCGCGGCCCTCTACATCTGGGCCATAGGTCTCCTGGCGGCCGGGCAGAGCTCCACCATGACGGGCACCTACGCGGGACAGTTCGTGATGGAGGTGGGGCAGGGGGCGGTCCCGGGCGGGCAAGGGGTCCAAGGACACTTTGGACACTCCAGCAGGCACACTACTGGAGGCTAGGGCTCCGGGCCGGGCCTTGTGGTTCCTTTTTCTTTTCTTTCTTTTCTGTTTTCTTCCTTCTTCTTTTTTTTTTTTTTTTTTTTTGTCGTTGTTGTTGTTGTTGTTGAGACGGAGTCTCGCTCTTGTCTCCCAGGCTGGAGTGCAGTGGTGCGATCTCGGCTCACTGCAACCTCCCCCTCCCAGGTTCAAGCTTCTCCTGCCTCAGCCTCCTTAGTAGCTGGGATTTCAGGCACTTGCCACCACGCCTGGCTAATTTTTGTATTGTTAGTAGAGACGGAGTTTCACTGTGTTGGCCAGGCTGGTCTCAAGCTCTTGACCTCGTGATCCGCCCGCCTTGGCCTCCCAAAGTGCTGGGATTACAGGTGTGAGCCACTGAGCCTGGCCTTTTCTTTTTTTCTTTTCTTTTCTTTTTCTTTTTCTTTTCTTTCTTTCTTTTTTTTTTTGAGATAGGCTCTCACTCTGTCACCCAGACTGGAGTGCAGTGGCTCAATCTAGGCTCACTGCAACCTCTGCCTCCCAGGCTCAAGCCATTCTCCTGCTCTCCTGCCTCAGCCTCCCGTGTAGCTGGGATTATCGGCATGCGCCACCACGCCCGGCTAATTTTTGTATTTTTAGTAGAGCCGGGGTTTCACCATGTTGGCCAAGCTGGTCTTGAACTCCTGACCTCAAATGAGCCATCTGCCTCGGCCTCCCAAAGTACTGGGATTACAGACGTGAGCCACTGCTCCCGGCCTTTTCTTTTCATTCTTTCTTTCTTCCCCCCTCCCCTCCGCACTTCTTTCTTTCTTTTTTGAGACAGGATTTCACTCTGTTGCTCAGGCTGAAGTGCAATGGTGCCATCACAGCTCGCTGCAGCCTCATCCTCAGCCTCCCAAGTCGCTGGGACCACAGGCTCATGCTACCACACCGGGCTAATTTTTAAAGTTATTTGTAGAGATGTGGTCTTCCTATGTTTCCCAGGCTGGTCTTGAACTCCTGGGCTCAAGTGATCTTCCTGCCTTGGCTTCCCAAAGTGCTGGGATTACAGACATGAGCCACCCCACCCAGCTTTTGTTTCCTTCACGTAGCCCAGAGGGCAACACTATAAGCCCCATTTTACAGATGAGAAAACTGAGATCCTGACAGATGAGGCGACTTGCCGGAAGCTGCAGACCCAGGACTAACAGAAGCCTTTTCCCCCAAACTGTTTAGTCTTCAGCAGCCAGCTATGGGATGGGAGCCCCCCATTTCTCCCCACCCACCCCCTCTTGCTGCCTAGGGACAGAGCTGCCCCCAATTCAACAGTGGAAAAACAAAGCATGCCCCCAGGGATAAATCAGTTGAGGGACTACAGAGGATCTCTCCTCTGGAATCCCCAGTCCTGTCTACTCCCCACCAAGGAGCTCACCCCCACCCCAGGGATTCCTCAGGCTGCGGTGGTCACGCTTCGCCCGAGTCCTCCTCACCCGCTCCTGCGCCATCCTGCCCACCGTGCTTGTGGCTGTCTTCCGGGACCTGAGGGACTTGTCCGGCCTCAATGATCTGCTCAACGTGCTGCAGAGCCTGCTGGTGAGATGCACGAAACCCACCAGCCCTGCCCGCTGCTGAGCTAAACAGGACCTCCAGCAACCCGCATGCTGAGCCTCGCCTGGGCCTGCCAGGCCCTGTCCTAGGCACACCTTGCCTACAAGGCTTCCATTGTCCCCACAGCCACCCTGGGGGCAGGAGGGTAGGAATCACCATTATCCTTCCCCCCTCCCCCGGCCCCAGATGGTCTCCCTCTGTTACCCAGGCTGGAGTGCAGTGGTTCAATCATGGCTCCCTGCAGCTTGCCCTCCCAGGCTCTAGCAATCTTCCCACCTCAGGCTCCTGAGTACCAGGGACTACAGGTGCACACCATCACACCCAGCTAATTTTTTTTTTTTTTTTTTTTTTTTTTTGAGATGGAGTTTCACTCTTGTTACCCAGGCTGGATTGCAGTGGTAAGATCTCGGCTCACTGCAACCTCTGCCTCCCAGGTTCAAGTGATTCTTCTGCCTCAGCCTCCTAAGTAACTGAGATTACAAGCGCCCACCATCACACCCAGCTAATTTTTTGTATTTTTAGTAGAGACAGGGTTTCATCATGTTGGCCAGGATGGTCTCAAACTCCTGACCTCAGGTGATCCACCTGCCTCGACCTCCCAAAGTGCAGGGATTACAGGCGCGAGCCACCGTGGCAGGTCTAATTTTTTTTTTTTTTTTTTTTTTTTTTTGAGACAGAGTCTCGCTCTGTTGCCGAGGCTGGAGTGCAGTGGCACGATCTCAGCTCACTGCAAGCTCCATTCTCCTGCGTCAGCCTCCCGAGTAGCTGGGACTACAGGAGCCCGCCACCACGCCCGGCTAGTTTTTTGTATTTTTTTTTTTTTTTTTTTTTGAGATGGAGTCTCGCGCTGTCACCCAGGCTGGAGTGCAGTGGCCGGATCTCAGCTCACTGCAAGCTCCGCCTCCCGGGTTCACGCCATTCTCCTGCCTCCGCCTCCCGAGTAGCTGGGACTACAGGCGTCCGCCACCTCGGCCGGCTAGTTTTTTGTATTTTTTAGTAGAGACGGGGTTTCACCGTGTTAACCAGGATGGTCTCGATCTCCTGACCTCGTGATCCGCCCGTCTCGGCCTCCCAAAGTGCTGGGATTACAGGCTTGAGCCACCGCGCCCGGCCATTTTTTTGTATTTTTTTTAGTAGAGACGGGGTTTTACCGTGTTAGCCAGGATGGTCTTGATCTCCTGACCTTGTGATCCGCCCGCCTCGGCCTCCCAAAGTGCTGGGATTACAGGCGTGAGCCACCGCACCGGGCCTTTTTTTTTTTTTTTTTTTAAGTAGAGAGAAAAGCTCATTATGTATGTTGCCCAGGCTCATTATCCCATTTTACAGATGGGAAAACTGATGCGCTCAGTTAAGTTACTAGTGGCAGAGCTGGGATTCAAACTGAAGCAACCTGATGCCAGAGCCCCCAAACACTTTCTCCTGCCTGGGAGCCCACAACCTGAGAAGGCAGGAGACGCGGAAGTAGGCTCACTGTGGTTAGGGCAGTTGAGCTTACACCCACCCAGAGGGTGACAAGCCATGCCCATCTTGTCCCCACCCTTGCCATATTCTGAGGCAGGGTTCCTCAGCCTAGGCTCCTGCTGCTCTCCCCAGCTCCCATTCGCCGTGCTGCCCATCCTCACGTTCACCAGCATGCCCGCCCTCATGCAGGAGTTTGCCAATGGCCCGTGAGTACCCCCCTTCCCAAGTGCTGGATTGCATCACCGCATTTCATCCTCACAGCCACCCAGAGGTACGAGCTACAATTCTCCCCATTATGCCAGTGAAGCCACAGAGGCTCAGAGAGGCTAAGGAACTTGCCCAGGGTCACACAGCTAGCAAGTCGGGGAACCAAGATTGGAATCCAGGGCGGAGGCCTGTTTCTAGAGCCTGAGCTCCTCACTCTCACCTCAGACTCAGCTCTTGCCAAATCCCGCCAGTGTGTAGCCTGGAGGGCCCAGGAGGCAGGAGGTGGGGAGGTGGTCTGTCTGCTCCAGGTCCCACAGCCCAGAGAAGCGGCCTTTGTGTATCCACCCCCACCCCCAGTGTGGGCACTGGGAGATGAAGAGAAGTAGATGCAGGTGGTCCAGCTGCAGCCAGCCAGTCCTGAGCCTCTCTCGTGTCCCCCAGGCTGAGCAAGGTCGTCACCTCCTCCATCATGGTGCTAGTCTGCGCCATCAACCTCTACTTCGTGGTCAGCTACCTGCCCAGCCTGCCCCACCCTGCCTACTTCGGCCTTGCAGCCCTGCTGGCCGCAGCCTACCTGGGTCTCAGCACCTACCTGGTACAGTAGGGCCAGGGGATGCCTTGGGAATGGGTGAGGTGAGGACGGGAGGCAACCAATGGGGAGGGTCTGTGGGGACACATTGGGCCTTCCCCAGAGGTCTTGGCCTCTCCCCAACTCATGGTCGCCCCTCTGCCAGGTCTGGACCTGTTGCCTTGCCCACGGAGCCACCTTTCTGGCCCACAGCTCCCACCACCACTTCCTGTATGGGCTCCTTGAAGAGGACCAGAAAGGGGAGACCTCTGCCTAGGCCCACACCCGGGGCCTGGCTGGGAGTGGCATGCGTGGCGTGACTGGCCTGCTGGATGTGGAGGGGGCGCATGCAGGGAGCAGGATGGAGTGGGACAGTTCCTGAGACCTGCCTTTAGGGCTTTAGGGGCTTTAGGGATCTGCTATTTCCTAGCACAGCCATGTGATTAACCTCTGGGTCTCAGTGTCCTCATCTGTAAAATAGAGACAACACCACCCTTGCTATGGAGGTTGAGCACTTTAACACAGTGCCTGGCACTGGGGACAAAAACAAACAAAAAACATTTCAAAAGGTATTTACTGAGCACCTTCAGGCGTGACCTGCCAGCCCAAGGACGGGTGGGGTAAGGACTTGGGGACTTGGGCAAGACACACAGGCTCCAAACTGGAGCTTGAAATAGTGTCTGATGAATGTATGTTTGTTTGTTTATTTATTTATTTGAGACAGGGAAAGGGTCTCCCTCTGGGTCCCAGGCTGGAGTGCAGTGGCGCAATCTTGACTCATTGCAACCTCCGCCTTCTGGGTTCAACTGATTCTCGTGCTTCAGCCCCGGGAGTGGCGCGCACCACCACGCCCAGCTAATTTTTGTATTTTTAGTAGAGACGGGGTTTGCCATGCTGGCCAGACTGGTCTCGAACTGCCGGATTCAAGTGATCCCGCCCCCACCTCCGCCTCCCAAAGTGCTGGGAATTAGAGGCGTGAGCCACTGCACCCGGCCTGATTAAAGTTACATAAATACTAGTTCCCTTCTCGTCCAAAGGAGCAGGGAATGGGAAACGGGAAGGCACGGAGTCTCTAAAACATTTAGAAGACCCCTACGCCAGGGTCTGGTCCGCTCCTATTCGCCGCAGCCTTTCTGTTCCGCCTGCAACCCATTTTCCAGACAGTAAAACGGAGGCGCGCTTCTTTCTCCGTCAGGCACCAGGTCATAAGGAACCCAAGAGCCCGTGCCTCTGAGGGCCAAGTTATTTGCTGTTTCCTCAAGAGACCCGGCGGCCGCGACTCCCACGCCGCGCCGTTAGCGCTCCCTCTCCGCTGACTGCTCCCCCTAGGGGCAGAGACAGTCCCGACGCCGGCCCTCCCGCCCCCTCCCCGCCAGGCGGAACGACGGGGGGAGGCTGGCGCTCGGGGCTCGCGCCCTGGGGCCCCAGAATCCTCTGGGGAGAGTGGGTCGGGGGGAAGCTGTGTGGGCGGGGAGTCCCCTCTGCCTTAGGGAGCGACTGAGCACCCCTTCGCCCCATTCAGGGGCTGCACTTTACAGACGCTCCCTAGGCTGTTTCTAGGCTCCCCCAAGTCCCTCCTCCAGCCTCCTCGGGTCCCTCGGACCCCAGCCCAGGACCTGCGGAGAGCCGCAGCGAGGAGACACTAACGGGCCTTTCCCCAGAGTTGAACCTGGGCCGGGTGTTGCACCTGAAAGAACCCCCGATTTCCCGGGGACCCAGCAGGGCGGGCGGCCTGTCTCCGCGCTCAGGTCCGGACGCTTGTTTATGAGAAGAATTTCCTCTTTCTTAAAAGGGCAACGATGCGAGTGGGTCCCTCAAAGAGAAAAGTGATGGGACCGGGCTTGTGCGACCTGGGCAAGTGCTGCAGAGGGTACCTGGGCAAGAGGGCCGCCCGCCTCCTCTAGGGTTGGCACTGGAGATGAGTCCATGCCAGCTGAAAAAGATAGATGGGGGGGCGTGTAGCGAAGAAAGGCATCTCCCAGATCCTTTGGCCTCCTGGAAGTGCCCCAGTTGTACCCCCTACACACCCCTCTCGTGAATTCACTTGGCATTGAGTGCCAGTCCTGTGCCAGGCCCTGTGTTACAAGTGGGGGAGGGAGGCAAAGTTCCGAATTAAAGATGTCAGCTCTCAAGGGCCCCACACTCCAGTGGCGGGAGACAGCTGTGCAAACAAGTCTCTGGGGCAGGATGCGGTGAAGGGCGCTGCCCCTGAGGCCGGCCTGGGAAGGGGACTGAATCTTGCTGAAGGGGGGTCAGGGGTAGGGGGGAGTGCTGACAGGACAGTCCAGGAGGAATGAGAGTGCCAGGAACATGGGGACACGTCTGTGCACATCTGCCAAGACATGAAGCCTTCTGGGGACGTCTTAGATCTTGTGGGGCAGGAATGGGGGGACGGCAGAGGAATGGGCAGGTTGGTCAAGAAGACACGGAGGGTCGGCTAAGGGGCTACCCAGGGCCTGGGTAAAGGGCTAGTGATGAGGTCGTGCCAAGGTCAGTCGTTTGGAGACTGGAAGGCGTCTACTTAGAGCTGCCCCCATTCCACCCATTGTAGCTCTGGTTCTCCCAGCCCGGGCTCAAATCGACCCTCCAGGAAGAGGGGTGCAGATTTGCTCTTCTGGAGGCTCCCTTTAGGCCTCTCAGGGAGGGCGTGGTCGCATTCGGCACTCCCCAGGAGCCTGCTGAGCGCACCCCGACTTTCTGCACCGCTCCCCCCATCCCCCTGGGATGGGCTTTTACCAGCCCCGTTTGGCAGATGGGGAAGCTGAGGGCTGGGTTGGGAGGGACGCTTCCAAATCCACAGGTGCCAGACAGCATCTTGCTGAATCCCGTTCCTGCCCCTCCCCGTTTCTGATTTGTGGCCTCCATGATTTTATTTTTCCTGGGGTGCGAATCGATAAAACAGACAAAAAATAGAGTGCATAAAGCGAGCTCCACCTGTAGAGATAGAGAGCAGCTGGGTGTAGACAACCCCCCGAGGGAGGACACCCGAAGGACCCCCTCCCCCCACGCAATCCTGGCCTCTCGAGTCACTCCGTAACTACCTGCCCCCAGGCGTGGGGAGAGAAGTCCAGGGCTCCAGGCAGAAGGCGCGGCTGCCTCTGCTGCCTTGGGAGCATGGGAGGAGGAGTTAGGTCTCCCTGGGAAAAGACCAGCACGGGCAAAGACTTGAAGTGGCGATAGGTTGGGGTGGAGGAGGTGGGGCATTCCTGAGGAATCCCGTGAGCTCAGGATGGCCCGTCTGGGAATGGTGGGTGGGGGGACAGCCGGCCAGGTTCCAGCCCCCTTCACAGAGGGAGAGGAAGGCGCGCCACCCAACCCAGGCCAAGGGCGAGGCCACGACTCCACTCGGTCCCTCGCCACACGCTTCCTTTTGGGGTCATGAGGGCCCCGCATCCGGAGATAAAGCTGAGGCCCCACCCAGGGGGCCGGACCGCAGGGGAGACAGATGTCCCGCTCCCAAGCTGGAATCCCGCCTTTGCCCTCGCCGGTAGACCGGGGGAACGTCGCTTCCTTTCTTGAAGCTCAGTTTCCTCATCTGTGAAATGGGATAAGGAGGCCGTTCTAAGGGGTAAATGAGGTTAGGGGGCGCAGCCAGAGCAGGCCTGGGAGAGCGCCAGCAGCGCGTGGCGATCACGGTGAAGCGCAATGGTGGCCGCCCCGTGGGCTACCCAGAAGCAGGAGGAGGGCCGAGGGAACCAGCCCGGGGGCCGGGGTATCAGTCCCCGACAGTCCCCTCCCGCCCCTGCTCCCAGCCTCAGGGCACGAAGCCGCCGCGCCTAATGGCAGGCGCCGCTCCCCTCCCTTCCCCTCCCGGCCCCCGCGCGGGGCCTCCCCTCCCCGGCTCCCCCTCGGCAGGGCCTGGCGGACGTGCGCCGCGTCGCACCCGGAGGCCGAACGGGACAGGACGCGCCCGCCCCGCCCCGCCACGGAGGCCCGCGGGAGAGCGGGGAGGGGAGGAAGTGCCGAGGCGTGTTTGTCGGGCTTGGCGTTATTAGTTTTTAAATGGTGAACTTACAGAATAGTAATGACGAGTGAAAAGACCAACCCGCAGACCCACGGCGCGCACCACGGAGGGGCTTCCCGCGGGAAGGCAGGGACCTTCGTTCCCAAGTGCCTAGCACTGCGCCACAGGCCGGGTGGAACGAGCCTTGAGGGCCTCTGGTTTGAGGTCCCCACGGTCGGGCTTTGGGCCCACCGCGTGCGGCGCCGTGCTGGGCTCCTGGGATCGGCAGCGAGTCCAGTGACCCCCACCGCACCCCCAGTAATCAAAGGGCGGCCGGCGAACGCGGGTAGGGGAGGGGACCTGGGAAGGCCCCTGGAGAAGGTGGCATTTCCTCGAGGTCGGTGGAATTTGGCTACGCGGAGAGAACAGCGCATACGAAAACTTCTTCAGGCGGGAATGCGTGGTGGCCTGTGCGCGGCGGGTGGACGTGCGGGGCCCCGCGTGGGGCCGTGGGGAGAGGTCGGCAGGGGACTTCCCAGGTCAGGGAATTGAAATTTCACGCCCTACAGACCAGGGGCACCTTGCCCAGGGGCTGCGGGGGGCGGTGACCGTCCTAGTCAAGACCGTGATTCTGAGGTTTGCACAGCTGTTTCAAGCCAGCAGCGCTTTCGCTGGCTCATGACGCCCTTGCGAAGTGACCTTTGCGACCACCAGACAGGAGAGAAGACCCATTTTACAGATGAGGTAGCGCTATCCCCAAGTCGTCAACGAGGTAACCAAGAAGCCTCCAGTCCCGAGTCCTCAGAAAACGCAGAGGTGGAGCCGCGCCGCACTCGTGCACTCCCGGGCGTGGGCGCTCCGCGCGGGCGGGCCTTGGCCCAGGGCGCTCGGCGGCCTGGAACGGTGAGCCGGGTGCCGAGCCTGCCACGCAGCCGCAGAGGCTCAGCCCCGCCGGCGGGCGGCAGGAAGGGAGGCGACGCCCCCTGGAGCGCGGCAGGAACCCGGCCCTGCCCGCCTCCCAGTCCGCCTAGCCGCGTCGGTCCCAGAAGTGGCGAAAGCCGCAGCCGAGTCCAGGTCACGCCGAAGCCGTTGCCCTTTTAAGGGGGAGCCTTGAAACGGCGCCTGGGTTCCATGTTTGCATCCGCCTCGCGGGGAGGAAACTCCATGTTGTAACAAAGTTTCCTCCGCGCCCCCTCCCTCCCCCTCCCCCCTAGAACCTGGCTCCCCTCCCCTCCGAAGCTCGCGGGGATCCCTCCCTCCCACCCCTCCCCTCCCCCCCGCGCCCCGATTCCGGCCCCAGCCGGGGGGGAGGCCGGGCGCCCGGGCCAGAGTCTGGCCGGAGCGGAGCGCGCCCGGCCCCATGGACAGCTCGGCCGTCATTACTCAGATCAGCAAGGAGGAGGCTCGGGGCCCGCTGCGGGGCAAAGGTACCGGGGCTGCGGGGAGGGGGCCGAAGTCGGGGCGCCGTGGGAGGAGAGGAGTGGCCGGGATCTTCCCCAGAGGAGCCGCCGCCGCCGCCCCGGGCGGCCACCTCAGCCGTGCCCGAAGCTCCCAGCCCGAGAGGGAGCGGGGAGAGAGTTTGAACTCAAAGGAGACTCAGAGACGCGGGGCGGGGCCTGGCGCCTTTGGGGCGCTCCCGTCCGCTCGAGGTGAGGAAACTGAGGCAGAAGTAGAGAAGGAACTCCTTCGGGGGCTTCCTGGCTGGCATTGCGTGGTGCATGGGCGCCCCCCCCCCATTGGCGCCAATGGGGCTGGGAGATGGGGGAGCTAAGGAGGGTGCCTAAGGGCCACCCGCTGAGACTCCGCCCCACCCCCTCCCTTGGCTGCGGTTCCGTAGGGTCTTGGTCTTGGGAGGGGGCGCCGAGGTGACAGCGGGCTAGGGAGGCTTGGAGGGATCTCCCGCCAACACACAGCCACGTTCCCACAAACTTCGCGTCACGCGTGGAGGCGCCGAGCCCCTCGGAGACACAGAGAGGACGGTCAGCACTTCCAAGAGTTGCCTGGCGCCCGCGGGGAGAGTCGTGCGCCTAGTGGGCACGCACCACCCCGCGAAGCCTAGCTGCTACGCGCCCCCACCTCCTCGCGCGTGGCTGGGCCGGGGTGGGGGTCTGCCCGTCCTCTTCCCCGTGTGGATCTCAGGACGTGGACGCTGCCCCCAGGTCTGCCCACCGTCGCCTGGGCCTGGCTGCCCTGGAGCTGAGGGCAAGGTGGAAAGGCTAGTTGTAGGGGGCCGAAGGGGGATGGGGTGGGAGGGGTGTCTGTTAATCAGGCCGCCGCTCCTGGGCTCCAGGTCGGAGG